AGCAGTCTTGTCCAAATTTCCCTTTCTAGCAGGAAGTATGTAGCTGAAGTAATGCACTTCCTTTCTGTTTCTTTCAGGATGTCAAAGACAGTAAAATCTACAATGAACAGAACTTTTTCCAGCGAGCTGCAAAGAAAGACAGAGGTTGGTGCTCTTCGGCAGGGTGAAAACTAGGTTGCTTATTAGGAAAACTGTCATCTCTCCTTTGTTATCTGAGTCTCTCAGAAGGCCACACTAGAATAAACCAGTTTGCTGCTTCCTCTGTGCCAGTGCTGAGCAATTCAGCCCTGAGCCTGCTCTCCAGTAGTGTACATTAAGACACTGCAGCACTGGCATTTTGCAGCTCTCTTGTTCTACTCAGCCATGTATTATTCTACTCAGCCAACTGTATTGCCATGCAGCCTGACTGGCTGCTGTTCCCTTCTGTGTCCACTCTGTGGGCATTTCTGTCAGCTGCTGTCAAGTATTTACTTTGCCCACATTTGGATTTTTAAGTCAACAAAACTGACCAGACATGATAGGGGAATTCCTGCCAAATGAGCACTTCTGGGAGGGCTGTAATCAAGTCCTTCCCAGACCTGTTCGTAGAATTTGCTTCTCCATCGCTGTTCCTGACACTCTCTTCCCCCCTTGCTGTTTTATTTAGCCCCACAACAAGCACATGCTGTAGCCTGCTCTGGTATTCCCAGCATCCTTGCTGTCTTATTCTTGCTCTGCAGTGCTATGTGCATTGACATGCCAACACCCTGGCACGTTAGGCTGGCATTTCTGGGGCAGATCAGTATGGAAACAGCTTGGCATCTGCCGTACTCTTTTCCCTCCTAGTGGAGAAGTGGAAGAAGCTGCACTCTTTGCCCCTGCTGGGCATCCCCAGCTGTCTTGGCTTTGGACTGCATGCAGATAAATACAGGTGAGGTGACTCTGTAAAGGGCACAGCTGAGCTCTTCTGTCTGCACCTGCCATCTTTCTGGGCTTTCCTCCTTCCCTTCTTGCTGTGTGCTGTCCTTTTTCTTGCTGTTCCCTGGGCTCCTAATTTAATGTGCTGCTCCTAATTTATTAACAATTGCTTTGCCTCGCACCGTTCTGTTTCCTCTAGTCACTGGGTTGCTGGTGTAGCCATTGCATTTGCAGCTTCTGCTCTTCTGGCCCAGGGACACCTTATTCTTGCCTTTTAAACTTTTTAAAAAAAAAAAAAGAGAGAGAGAGAGACTGAGACTTTGTATCTGCAACAAACTCCTTTACAAGGAACTTTTGTTATCTAAGTGAGGAAAGCTTTGCCCAGGTCAGTGTGAAGTAGTGGGGGGGTGTCTAATCCAGGTAGATCGCTTGAGTTTCTGTTGCGGGGCTTCTGTACCAGGCAGGCACTGCTACATCCTTGTCTTTTGTAGGTTTCTGGTGTTCTCTGATTTAGGGCGATCTCTTCAGTCCATCCTGAATGACAACTTACACCTGAATGAGAAGGCAGCTTTTCAGATTGCAGTCCGACTGGTACGTAGGGAGCCAACACTTTCCAAAAGACTTGTTAAGGAAAGGCATATAACTTCCTCCCTCATCTTTTAAAGGTACTTTAAAGCTAACCCAGGGGGTTTGCTGGGCTCTTAAAGTAGCATCTCTAGAGCCTGTTGTAAACTTGAGTAGCATCTCTTGAGTAGTGTGTAATGTAGAAGGAATCTGAGGTAAGAAGGATGAAAGAATCCTGTCACTTGAAAATCAGAGGCTGTGGGACATGGTGCTCATGTAGTCCTCCACACAGCTACAAGAAATGAGGGAGCAGGGTTCAGCTCAGTGAAAGCCTGGGTGCTGGGTGAGGAGTGTGTGGGTTTGATACGCTCTGCTCTTCTGTTTACTTGTAGCTGGACTGCCTGGAGTACCTTCATGAAAATGAGTATGTGCATGGAGACATCACAGCTGACAACATCTATGTGAACCCAGCAGACCTCACACAGGTATGCAGTGGGAGCAGTGCTGCAAAGAAATGGCAGCTGAGTTGGGCTCATACAAACGGGACAGAGCAGCACCCAGATTCCTGCTTTTGAGCAGGGGAGCAATGCAGTTCATGTGGTGCTAAGATGCAACAATGCAGGACTGGATGCACAGTTTAACACCTGAGGGCAGGGAACCTTAGAAGCCACCTAATGTGCCATAAAGGGATTACTCAGAGGGAAAATTCAGGCTCTGACTTTGGAGACCTTTGTGGAGCAAGCAGAGCAGATGCACAGCCTGTGGTCCTGGCCCAAGCAGTAATGCTCAGATGTGTGTTTCCTGCTGCCTTCCAGGTGACCCTAGCAGGCTACTACTTTGCCTTCCGTTACTGCCCAGAAGGAAAGCATGTGGCTAGGCGTGAAGGCAGCAGGACTCCTCATGAGGGCACGATAGAGTTTATCAGCCAGGACAGCCACAAGGGAGCAGGTGAGTCTGTTTCTGACACAAGCTGGTAAAAAGCCCACCTGAAGCTGTTTCTGTAGCAGGGCTCTCTGGAGCTAGGGCTTCCTACTGCCACTTGTTACTGCTGCTTTCCAGGCATGTATGTGTACCTGGAACCCAATTTCTGTTTGGCCTATTTCCTCAAACCTCTTTCCAGGCTGCTGCGTTGGAAATTGCCAGGTTACTCAGTGACTGTAGCAATAGGTGCAGGGGTGTTCCTGCTCCATCTGGAGTCTTGGCTCCTGCAAGTGTGCATGGAATATAAAACTGGGTTGCTTCATGCTGGCTTAGGTGGGATCAGCTTCAAGCTAGACTGGGTTCCTGCCCGAAACAGTCTTCACTCTGACCCTGTAGCAGGGAACTGGAAGGATGTTCAAATTAGCTACTTGGTTGGGTCTCAGAAATAGACACTTCCAAGGATGTGCCATGAGTGCTGAAGTGCACCTTTGGAGAGGTACTAGCCTGGACCTCCCTTGGGATGGCTCCCAATCTATTTTTTGCATGTGGATTTCTCTTCTTCCAGCACCATCTCGACGGAGTGACTTGGAATCTCTGGGCTACTGTCTTCTGAAATGGCTCTGCGGCTTCTTGCCTTGGTCTAAGGAGCTGGACAAAGTAGAAACTGTGATGGAAAAGAAAGAAATGTAGGAGTATTCATCTGCTCTTTTGGGAAATGCTCAGAAGGAAACACTGAGGGCGATTCTGTGACTAGAAGACTGATCAAATGATTTCTCTTTATTGTAGTGTGGGTAAATCCCACTGGAAAGTCACACTGGAAGCAGGTGGCCAAAATTATCTCCCGGGTGAAAGGGTTATTGGTGAACCCAGATGTCAGCAGTATTTAGAACCTGACCATCTGAACTTGGCCTTTTTTGTATTTTGTTCTTGTTGTCAAAGACAGGATGCTTCAGTGCCTGCTCCATTGCTTCTCTTCTGACAGCTCTCTGCACTGGTTCTTCCAGGTACAAAAATGATGTGACATGCCTTCTCCAGCAGTGCTTCAGCAGGCAGAGGTCAATTCCAGGTGCAGGCTTGCTTTCCTTGGGGCGTCTTGGGGAGGCAGGGGGGATTGACCATACTTGAAGCCAGAGCCTTCCTCACACTGGGGTGCTAACTGGGGTGGCTTTTGGTGGTGATGGTGACAAAGCAGTGCACAGGTCAGCTGCCAGGCTGCTCCTATGAACGAAGCCCTTGTTTGCAGCAAAACAAAGAAGGCTGCTACCTGTTATATCTATGTTCATAAGCCTTGCTGAAGAGGCAAGTGGCAAGAGTTTTAGTGGCTTTAAAAATGCAGAGTTTGGGGCTTGACGTCATTCCTCCATCCTGTTTAAACTTTGTATTAGTTCTTTGTTTTCACAGAATGGTTTGGGCTGAGAGGGACCTCAGAGAGCATCCAGTTTGACACCCTCCCTTGTGCCATGGGCAGGGACACCTCCCACCAGCTCAGGCTGCCCAGGGCCCCATCCAGCCTGGCCTTGAGCACCTCGAGGGATGGGGCATCCATCCACAGCTTCTCTGCACAGTGGTGCCAGGGCCTCCTCTCTATAGTAAAGCCAATCTCTCTTTTCGTGTAAAGCCATTACCCCATGTCCTATTGCTTCATGCCCTTTTAGAGAGTTCTCTCCCCATCTTTCCCATAGTCCCCTTCAGGCACTGAAGGGTAGCAGTGAGGTCTTTCTGTAGCTGTAGAGTGGGGACAGTCCCTTCCCTGACCTGCTGGCTGCACTTCCACTGTAGACCAGGTTCAGTTTTCCTCTCTCCGCAGCCAAGGCTGAAGAGTGATCTCTCTGCAGGGAATGGAATCTGGAAATGTTACTTGTCAGTTTTGTGATGGGTTGTGTCAATCCATGTGGTGACATTCTGTGTTTTGCAGCTGCCTTTCAGAGCTACCTGCAACAAGTAATGGCACTAGAATATGAGGAGAAGCCGAACTATGAGGCCCTGCGGCAGCTCTTCAAAAAGCCACTGCAGATGCTGAAAGCTTCAGCTTATGACTCTGTGGATATCATGGTAGTGCCCTAAGTAAGTGCCCACAGTTCAGATTGCTGCAGCACACAGCACCAGTCCCCTGCACTCCAAGGAGCAATGGAGCACTGTTCCTATTATCTCAGCAGATCTCCACTTGCTGTAGTTTAGGACCTTTCTACCCTGCCATTTCATCATGTTTTCCATGGTGTTTCAGCTTTCCATTGAGTTACAGGGAGAAAACTGTACAAACTGATTTGTGTTCCCCTTCTCTTTTAGGTCAGGAAAACTTGCACAGGACAACACAGTTCAGAGCTTTCTGCAGTGTGAAGCTTTTCCAGAAGATGTGAGAGATTTTACCTACTGTTGTTTTATAATAAATATTGGAAAGCACACACAGCCTGCAGCATGGGGTTACTGGGAGAATATTCAAGGCTGTGCTTTGACTTTTTTTCCTCGTGGCAGTGCAGCAGATTTGTGATTTCAGGCTCATGTTATGTCCTGTGCTGGGTTCTCACACCTGCTCATGGATGGATGTAAATAGCCTTCATACCCCAGCTCAGCAGACATGAATGGATACCAGCTATGAAAGCAATACAGGGAGCCATTTATAGATGTAAAAACAAATTTTATATATAAAAAAAATCACTACATCCTATCTGAACTGTTGCCACCTGCCACAGTAACTTCTAGACAAAGGAAAAGTTGTGGAGTCCAGTTCCAGTGTTAAGGTCGTTGACAACTCATGAAAATCTTAAAAAACAAGTAATGAACATTAAAATACCAACACATAAAAAGAAAGCTATTTTCCTAATGTAGACAGATTCCTAATGTAGACAGGCTGAAGGAGTTTTAACCCAGGCTGGCTAGTCTGAGGTCAGTAGAGGAAGTTCCTTCAAAGCCCTACAGATACAGTACAGAAGATTGCAATTTTAATAAGAAAAGCATATGGCATATGCTCCCCTTGTGGACTAGGATGCAGTTGCAAGGCTTCAATTAGGGCTTTAAGACCGTTTGCCCGTACTGCATTGCTGCCTGCTTCTAGTGTTCAAGTGAGGTGTGCTTTACTGAAGGCCACATTCATGGAAATAGGAAGGAAGACAGGCAGTGAAGGTAGGCCACGGGCTGGAGGTGGCAGTTAAACCACACTGATGCAGCATGGGCTAACAGTTCACAGTACTGTAGCATTGGGCAGTGAAGCATTAAGGCACAGGAGCATAACATTTCAGGGGAAGGAACACATGGCAACTAGGCCTGAGTCAAATAGGGTTTTTAAAACCACGAGAGGTAGGTTAAAAAAAGCTCAGACCTTCAATGAGCCTTCATTTACCTCTTGACTATATCTATAAAAACCTTAAATCAGTGCAGCAAGATATACACATAGAAGAGGGAAGCACCAGCTGACTTGTAATAGTACCTGGCTAAGATTAAAATGCAGCATAACCGCAAAAAGGTCTATCAACTTCAAGCATAGTGTTACATCCAGTAACTTCGTGACCAAAGTAAATTCCTTTCTTTCATGGCACCAAGCCTCACAGTGAAGCAAGGAAGAAGACAAGGTCATTTTCAAGGAATAATTGGTGAGGTGTGACACAAGCTGTAAAGTTACAATCCCTCTCAGTGTACGAAACTTGGAGAGAATCAGAAAATAGGGAATACTTTAAAAAATAAAAAAGCAGTTATCAAGGATGGAAAAAGGCCAGAAGTGAGATACAGAATTAAGAGACAGGCTTATAGAATGTGGTAGGAATAGGCAAAGTTAAGGGAAAGGGCTCTTTCTGGAGGTATTGACAATTATTCACTATCATTCCTGTACAACTGTGACAGAGATGTTGTTTCCAGAAAACCTAGAGAAGCATGAAATCAGAGGCTTAAGAAGCCCAAGTTCACCCTTTCTTCACTGTGTTCTGCCAGGTTCTTGCGCTTGACTTGCCTTCGGGCAGAATTCCTGTCACCAGCTCTAGCACGCACTGATCGTAAACGTGACTCCAGGTAGGGAGGAAGGCATGGCTCCTTGTTCATGGCACTGCCACCAGACAGTGCTGAGGTAGGTTTGAGAGGTATTCCACAGCTGCCTTCCACAGAAGATGTAGGACTGGCACCACTGACAGAAGAGTAGCCTGAGCTCCCTTCCCAGTTGGGATTTCTTGAGGCAACACAGGCTGAAACTCTGCGAGTTTCATCTGGTGTCCTGGCCTTCCTCAGTGGTGCTGTGTGCCCAGGACACTCCACAGATAGGCTGTCCTCATCACTGGAGTCCTGACAGCAGTGCTCCACTGGATCCATGTAAACCACTGTCACATCCAAGATTCCACTGGGACTTGTGACTGAGGGATGAGAAGAGAAAGGCCAGTTAGAATTTGGGCAACACCAAACTAACAGTCAAGCAGAGAAAAAAGTGCAACTGTAAACCTTGTCAAGAGGGGAAGGTGAGGGTAGAGTTTACCCTCATTAAAATATTTTAGTATTTCCCCTCTCAACCTGTTTGGAGAGGTACTGTCTAACAACTGCTTGGAGAGGCCAGAGCCTGTGTGTCAGTAAGACAAACAGCTGACAGTGTTCCAACAGTGGCTCCAATACAGTCCCATTCAAGGCTGGTTACTGCTGTAACAGCATCTGAAAATACTGTCTTGGAAATGCTGAGTGGCTATAAAACCCATTATGTTCTGAAGCAGTAAAGAGAAGAAACGTACTCCTAAAAGTTTAACAACTGTAACCACTGGGGGAGAAGGAGCATTTCCCCAGCTGCTCTTACAAAAGTTTAGGTTCTATAAAACTCCTTCTGGGGCACCAGAAGAAAGATAAAAGGGCAGATTGAGTTTTTTTTTTTTTTTTTTTTTTAAGACTGTAAGTCTTACCATCTCCATCTTTCTCGCCTTCACTTTCCTGATCACCTTCATAACCAGAGCAGGAATCTAAACTCCAGTCCAGAAAGCTGTCCAGAAGACTTTCTTCCTGGGTGGATAGCTCAGCTGTAGGTGTAGTCACTAAGCTGCCCCTGTCATCCTGAGTGCTGTCTTCCCTCCTCCTGTAGGAAGAACATCCAGAAGTCACACATTAAAAGCCAAGTCTGCTTCTCCAGCTCTTCTAATAGAGATGTCAGCCAAGGTAACGACAGAAAGGATGGAAGCTCAGGATGCCAGAGAGGAGGAAAGGCTCATGCAGGTCTTCACAGACCTTTACAGCCATGAGTTCTACTCACCTTTTAGATCTCTTTCCAGAGGGAGAGCTAAAGAAAGCTTTAATTTCTATGACATTTGTGTGCAGGGGACTGGGTTTCGGGTCCTCCTGCTTCACACCCAACAGTGAACAGAGCTGGCTGTAGCTCATCACCTGAAAAACAAAGGGTTAAGAATTAGACCATGTGATTCCCTCTGCCAGGAAGCAGCTATTTTATCCTTATTTATCTTTATTTCTTTCCAAGAGAAAGCTATCTTGTTGAGTCCTTCCTAGAACTGCTGTTCAACCACAGCAGTTAGAGTCCCAGCAGACGAAATTTAGCAGCCCCAACCTTACCTAGTTATTCTCTACTTCCAAGACCTGAAGTTAAAACTCACTTCCACTTACTGGAAGTTTTGAATGCCCTGCCACATAGTAGCTTTTGCTCTAGGTGTCAGATTTCAGTAAACAAAAGAACAAACCCACCTTTTCTTTGCCTACTTCATCATAACGCTCATCTTCAAATCTCTGTCTCACTGCAGTTAAAGACACCTGCCTATAATCCTTAGGGACCTCATCATGGAAACTGAAAAGAAAGACCAGGGCTTTAATCTTAGAATGGATTATATAAAACATTGTTAGCAAGTTCTGGCAATGTAAGTACCACCTCAGCTCTGTGCTGAGGAAACTGGCATTTCAGCAGAGTTGCTAAGCATGCAAGCATCTAATTCCTTTTCTGTTTCTTGAGATATCTGACTTCCAGCCTTTCAGAAATGAATTACTTTTGCTACTGAACTCCTTCTGGAGCTCATCAAAAAGCTGGTCACAATCACCTGGGGAGCACCAGGGCTTCTGTAACCCAGGGCCACTGCCAGTTAAGAAAAGCGCAACAGCCATCACTGAACCAGCCCCTAGATTTCAGTGCCCTGTAGTAGGGGGAGTAAAGCAGTGTCACCTCCTCACTTTAGAAGGACTTATAGCAGGGCTACAAGAGCCAGAGTACAAAAACACTCCCAGAACAGTTCCTGATGCTTTACCATTTTTGGTGAAGGTGCAGCACACACGGCAACAGGTCTTCAAGAGAGAACCCAGTGCACTCAGACAGCTGGCTGGTCCAGGGATGTGCTGGAGAAGAGAACAGGTATTACCATTTCACAGAGCTTGCAAGTTCTGTAGTCAGACAGTTTTTAATGGGAGAAAAATTATGTTTATGTGGTGATAATCTTTAGGAGCTTTTGTCTGTACACAGTTGAAGTTCAGAATTAGCTT